TGTGGGTGCTGGGATTTGAACCCGGATCTTCTGCAAGAACAACCAGTGTTCTTAACTGCTGAGCCATCTCTCCAGGCCCCCTATGTTTTTTTTAATCTATAAAACTTAACCAATCCAAAGGGTAGTTTTAAGAACTAAGGAAACAAATACAGAGTGCTGGTATAGTTTCTATTTCCACTTAGGGGATCAATAAACATCTCTTCTTGTTAACTGATGTTATTTTTACTATTATTTATTTGCTTTTCGTTTTGTTTTTGAGACAGGGTCTCCCTATAATCCCAGCTGGCCTGGAATTCATTATGTAGACCAGGCTGGCCTCAATACCACAGAGATCTGCCTGCCTCTGCCTCCCAAGTGCTGGGATTAAAGGTGTGCACCACCATTGTTTAGCAGTACAAATGTACATGTACCACCTGTGCTGGAGCGCTTTAGTTGTAATTTGACATACCTGGAGGGAGCCTCAACTGGAGAACTGTCTCCATTAGACTGGCCTGTGGCTATGTCTGTGGGGCATTTCTTGATTGTTGAGTGATGTGGGAGGGCCCAGTCCACTTTGGGCAGTGCCACCTCTGAGTAGGTGGTCCTGCATTGTATAAGGAAGCAGATTGAGAGTCAGGCATAGTGGCACATGCCTTTAGTTCCAGCACTTGGGAGGCAGAGGCAGGTGATCTCTGTGAGTTCAAAGCCAGCCTAGTCTACATAGCTAGTTCAGGACTGCTGGGGTACAGGGAGACCCTGTCTCAAAAAGGAAAAAAGAAAGAAAGCAGGTTGAGCAAGCCAGTAAGCAGCTATCCTCCAAGTTCTGCTCTGTGCTCCAGGTTCCTGCCTTAAGTTCCTGCCTTGGCTTCCCTTGTTGATGGACTGTGTTTGTGTTCATAAGTCAAATAAACCCTTTTCTCCCCAAGACGGTATTGATCAGAGTGTTTTGTCACAGCAACTGAAATCAAACTAGAACACCACATTATAGTATTCAGATTTACTGATATGTTGTCAATCCATCTGTTTCGTGACAACAAATCAGTTTACTATTCTAAAAAGTACTTCTGAAAATTCTACTATTCTGTTTATTTTGACTTGAAAAACTATAGGAAAAGACATTCTTGGGAGCGCTGGGGAGATGACTTGGTCTTTAAAATGCTTGTTGTTATAAGCATGAGGCTGAGTTCAATCCCCAGAACACACATTAAAATTAGGCATGGTTTCATACATTTGCAAACCCAGTACTGTGGAAGCAGAGACAGGTAGATCCCTGGGACTCACTGGCCAGTCAGTTTAACCTAATCAGAGACCCTGTGAGATCTCAGTGAGAGATCCTGTCTCAAAAATCCCAACATGATGGCTCCTGAGGAATGATACCTGAGGCAGATCTCTGGCCTCCACATACAGATATACACACAGGTACACCCATATTCACACATGTACCTGCACCCATACTCCCTCACACACATGACATTCTTGGGAGCCAGGCATGGTGACACATAACTGTAATTCCAGTACTGGAGAAGCTGAGGGGAAGGGTTATGAATTTGAGGTCAGTCTAAGCTTCATAGTGATTTGAAGGCCAGCCTGGGCTACATAGTAAGACCATATCTCAAAAAACTATATATATAAAATACATATATCCATACACACATATTGAAAGAAAATCCTTTAATCTAAATGATGTATAGATAGATGCTTCTTCTGTTCTGTATGCTTAAAATTTTTTCTAATTAAAAATTAAGAATTAAGAGACAGATTCAGCGGGAAAGGTAGCTCGGTGGATACAGTGCTTGCCTAGCATGCACAAAGCCCTGGGTTCCATCCCCAGCATGAGTGTTTGGTGCACACCTGTAATTCTGACACTCAGGATATAGAGGGAGAAAGATCAGAAGTTCAGGGTCATTCTTGGATCATGCGACCCTGTCTCAAAAATAGTGAAAAAAAATAGTCTTGGTGGCACATGCCTTTAATCCCAGCAGCACTCAGGGGGCAGAGGCATGTGAACCTCTTTGAGATAGAGGCCAGCTTGGTCTACGTAGCAACTTCCAGGCCAGGTGTTTCTCAAAACACCAAATGGGGCGGGGCTCAAAAATCACACTACAGGGGCTAGAGAACAGCTCAGCAGTTAAGAGTGTGCACTGTTCTTACATAGAACATTCAGTTCCCATATAGGATGGCTCATAACTGACTGCAACTCCAGCTCCAAAGGATCTGATGCACCTGCACTCACATGTACATACATACCCATAGGTAACACATATATACACATAATTTTTAAAAATAATGAAAGTAAATTAAAAACCAAAAGCATACTACAAAGCAGTTTAAAACATTTTAGTTTGTTTTTTGGGGGCTATATTTATTTTTTGTTTTGTTTTGTTTTGGAGATAGGGTCTGGCTGGAACACATTATGCAGACCAGGCTCACCTTGAACTCACAGATATCTGTCTGCCTCTGCCTCTTGGTTGATTAAAGGTGTGTGCCTCCATACCTGGACTTAAAACATTTCACAAAGGCCACAATAAAAAAGGAGGAAAAACAAGCAACATAAAACTCAACGGAAATGGTGCCTCTGTGTGTGTGTGTGTGTGTGTGTGTGTGTGTGTGTGTGTGTGTGTGCTGTGTACATTGCTCATTTAAGAGAGGATCTATGCATCCTCCTGCCTCTGTCTCCTGAGTGCTGAGATTACAAATGTGTACCACTACACCCAGTTAAATAGGTATATATTTTTAGAAAGCTAAAACAGCTATTTTCAGGTGAGGACCCCATGAGGCTCCACCTTTCCCTGAGGAGCTATAGGCAGTATGGTTGTTGGGGGAGGGAGACATTTTCTTCAGTGGTGTAGTCACAGGTAATCTGCCATGCCCTCCTGTAAATAACACCCATGCTGCTGTAAACAATATAATGAAGCTCACTGGCTCACAAAACAGAAATAAAAACCTTCAAAGCAGTCAGGCTAGTTAAGAAGAAGAAAGGAGTGGGAGGAAGAAAACAGAGGGTGATGGGGGCAAATATGATCAAAATATCCTACATATATGTGTGAAAATACATAAAAAAGCTATTTTTTTTGGTCTTTTTGAGACAGGGTCTCCCTGTAGCCCCAGCTGTCCTGGAACTCACTATGTAGACCAGGCTGGCCTTGAACTCACAGAGATCTGCCTGCCTCTGCCTCCCGAGTGCTGGGATTAAAGGTGTGCGCGACCACGCCCGGCCAAAAAAGCTATTTTTAACATCCCCATAAAAGCAGGTATATCATCGTTTTTCAGGATAACAATCTGAGAAGTTCTAAGGGAGGTAAGTATATAGTTTATTTTCTCTCCAACCCCAATTTTTTTTCTGCCTCTTCTCTAACAAATAGGCACTTGCAGGCCCCGTGTGGTGGCGCACGTCTTTAATCCCAGCACTTGGGAGGCAGATGCAGGTGGATCTCTGTAAGTTCGAGGCCAGCCTGGTCTACCCGGTGAGTTACAGGACAGCTGGAGCTACAGGGAGACCCTGTCTCAAAAAAGACAAACAAACAAACAAACAAAAAACCAATAGGCACTTGACTTAGCAAACGGGATTTTCTGTCCTGTAGCTTGAAGATGCAATGGAAAAATACATTTGACCTTTACCTTGAATCTTCACAAAGGTCAAGAACAGTGGGGACAGGCACTCCAGCATTCCCAAGGGCTTTCATTATCCTGCCGGAATAAGTGAAAAAGCATCATGGTGATCTGAACTGACAAGGTTTTCTTGAAATAGCTTTTCTGACTTAAAAAACAGTATATTGCCAAGCATGGTGGCACACGTCTTTAATCCCAGCACTCGGGAGGCAGAGGCAGGCAGATCTCTGTGAGTTCAAGGCCAGCCTGGTCTACATAGTGCGTTCCAGAACAGCTGCAGCTACAGGGAGACCCTGTCTCAAAAAGACCAAAAAAATAAAATAAAATACAGATGGAGAGTGACTAAAAAGATATCAATGTTGATCTTGGGCCTCCACATATACACACACACGTACAGGCACACCAGCACATATGCACACCATACACATACACACAAAATAAAATAAAATTAAGACAAGTACATTGGGATTGGGCTGTATATCATTGGTAGAATACTCGCCTAGCATACACAGACCCTGGGGTCAATTGCATCACACACACACACACACACACACACACACACCCAGAGGAAGTGCAATAAAGCAAACACAGGGATGCATGCTGTAATCCTGGCACTCAAAAGTCAAGAAGGGACAGAGCAACAAGACAGGCCTGGAGATCACATTCCCCTTAGGATCCCACATCTTCCTTTTATAGCACACACTAGACCACAGGTGACGATGAGGAGGAAGGGCTTCCTGGAGTGACTCCATCCTAGGTCTCACCCATGGCTTTGCCCTCCCTCTCCAAAAGATCTGGAGTTTCAAGCTTTCAGACTTGTATATTTACGTTTTCCTGGTGGTACAGGCCTGTAAAGCCAGCTACTAAGGAAGCTGAGGCAAAGAGATCACAAGTTCAAGGCCTGTATAGGCTACAGAGTAAGTTCGAGACCAACCTGAGCAACTTAGTGAGACCATGTCTAAAAAAGTAAAAAGATAATACATCTGAATTTTTTTATTATTCTGTGTATATGTTGTATTTGTGTGTGTGTGTGTGTGTATGTGTGTGTGTGCGTGTGTGTGTGTGTGTGTGTGTACATGATATTGAGGGATATGTGCCCCGTGTATATGTAGGTCAGAGGACAACTTTGTGGAGTCCATTCTCTCCTTCTACCTTTACATCTTTATATGGGTTCAAGGGATTGAACTCAGGTCACTAAGCTTGCACAACATGTGCCTTTATCTGCTGGGCCATCCTGCCTCAGAAAATGTTTTTTTAAAAAAGGACTGAAGGGAGCAGTGGTGCTGCAGAGGTGGCTCAGTGCTTAACAGAGGCTCACAGCCTGTGACTCCTAGAGCACCTGCACTCATGTGCACACACCCACATACACATAGTTTAAAAAAATATAAAAGTAAATATTCTTTCAGGCCAGAGAAATGGCTCAGCAGTCAAGAACACTTGCTGCTCTTACAGAGGACCTAGGTTCCCAGCCCACATGGTGGCTAACAACTGACCATAACTCCAGTTCCAGGGGATCTTATGCTTTCTTCTGCCCTCTGCAGGCACTGTACACATGTGGTATACATATATACCTGCAGGCAAAACACTCATACATATAAAATAAGAACAAAAATAAAAATATTTTAAAACTTTTGAATAAAAATAGGGCCAGGCATGGTGGTGCATGAATTTAATCCCAGCACTCGGGAGGCAGACGCAGGCGAATCTCTGTGAGTTCAAGGCTGGCCTGGTCTACATAGTGAGTTCCAGGACAGTTGGGGCTACAGGGAAACCCTGTCTCAAAAAGACCAAAAATAAATAAATAAATAAATAAATAAAATTTTTTTAAAAACGTTTGAAAAACAACAAAGTGCTGGGGACTTAGCTAAGTCACTAAAGTGCTTACTATGCAATCATGAGGATCTGAGTTCAATCCCCAGCACCCACATAAAACATCAAGCATGGTGGTACAGGCTTGTTGCTTGATATCCTAGACCTGGGGAGGTGGAGACAGGTGGATCACTGGGGTTCCTGGGCTAGTCATCCTACCCTGATTAATGAGTCCAGGTCCCATGAAAGACATTGTGTCAAAAAACAAGGACAGGGGCTGGAGAGATGGCTCAGCGGCTAAGAGCACTAACTGCTCTTGCAGAGGACCCAGGTTTGATTCCCAGTACCCACATGGTGGCTAACAACCATTTCTAACTCTAGTTCCAGGGGATCCTACAACTTGTTCTGACCTCTGTGGGAACTGCATGACACGGATGCATTTACACACATGCAGGCGATACACTGGCACACATTAAAAATAAAATATTTAAAAAACCCCCAAAAATGAGGACAACGAGAAACACCCAAACACCATGGCCTCCACATGCGTACACACACAGAAACAAGCACACACACACACACAAATGAACAAATAAATTTTTTTTAAATTAAAAATAAAAACTGTTATGTAGAGTATACCTGTAATCCCATCACTTGGGAGGTAGAGGCAAGAGAATCAGGAGCTCAAGATCATCCTTGGGTACATAGCAAATTTGAGGCCAGCCTCTGTCTTAAAAGGAAAAAAAAAGGTGTATTTGGGAGGCTGAGGCAGGAAGATCATTTAAGCCCAGAAGTTAGAGAGCAGCCAAAGCAATGCAATGAAACGCCCTTCTCAAATGCAAAAAAAAAGGTAACATGTTCTTATCTGAAAGGATATGGAGATTGATCATTACAATTTAAAAAGTTTCAGGGCAGGAGGCCGGGCGTGGTGGCACACGCCTTTAATCCCAGCACTTGGGAGGCAGAGGCAGGCGGATCTTTGTGAGTTCGAGGCCAGCCTGGTCTACATAGTGAGTTCCAGGACAGCTGGGGCTACAGGGAGACCGTCTCAAAAAGAC